CTGAGCGTGTGTGATACCATAGAACGTGGTGGGGCTCTAAAGGGGCAGGAAGCTGCTCATGATGTTGCTGAGGGTAACTTAATTCACGTCTTTGTCTGAAAGGTATATTGAACCACAACTACACTCTAGACCGCATTTCATATCCTCCTAGTTACTTGGAAAGCCCCTCCAAGCCCATACCTACAAGCACGGTAAGGAAGTCGAGGCGATGACTGGTTTGTCATAATACAGCGCCTGAGTAGAGGCCGTGATCTGCTGGAAAGTCTAGTTCAACATCGTTCTAATCATACAACCGGCCCCCGAGCAAACCATCACCTGATACATGTCACTGCCGCATGCAGCTCCCAGGATGCATCAAATCTGACCACTTACGAAAGATAACACGGTGCTCACAAAAGCTCGACCCAAAGTAATAAGATGTCGACAGTATCTTGTAGCCAGACGTAAATCGACTATCCAGGACAGAAGCCTACAGTTTGACGTCAACGTAAGGTCATCATCAAAGCCTCGAGAGCACCGCGTGCCCTTGTTTCACTAACCACGGGCCCGGACAAGCACACCAAGACCCGGCAATCGGTCTGGTCATTCTCGGCCGGCCGCAAGCCTTCCGCAGCCCTCACCCGTCCGAGTGCCGCCGATCGGATAACCTCTCAGCTCTGGCTCTTACAATCCAACAAAGTGTAGGGCACCATCGGATGCATCGTATTCGCTTGGCACAGACTCTTCCGTACCTCGCATCCTTCTCGGCTTCGCACCGCTCGGCCCCGATCCACCAACACATAACTTTACGAGGCCCCGCCAGCACACCCGCAGCTCCCGAAACAGCGCCGGCCGGGAGCACCGTGCCCCTCCTCCACAGAGACAGAGTGGAACCCTCCAGTACGGTGCTCCTCCGAACTTTCCGGCCAACAAGCTCCGTTGCGAAGGACAACGGGCAACGGAGTACGTAGTCCGTTAGTCAGGGCGCTCAAGCTTCAGCTGTGCTTCTGAAACGAGCCATATGCTCGTAAGAGGGCAGAGAAAAGTCTAGACAGACAGGAGATGCGATGACTAAAGTTTCTCGAAACCTCGTTTAGCTACTCGCGGACTCGTGTTAAGCACGCATGTCCGAGAGAAACAACGGACTGTTCAAACCTTTTTATCTTCACTCTTCCCGAAAGTCTAACCTTGCATGCTATGATTTTTTACCTAACAGCTTCATCACACTAGGCTTTTGCTATTGAGAGAAAAAGCTTGTACTGAAAATAGCTCTGTCGTGCAAGCATCATCAAACCAGACCATGAACGCAACACCCCCATCGAGACAGAGTTTTGACCCCTTTCGATGAGCTTCTAAACAGTGGTGGCTCTGGGCAAAAAGCTGGGCAATGGTTGAGAGCGGAAATGCTGACTACATTCGGCTTACAAAGCAAAAGTATCACAATGCCAGAATCCCATCGCCACTTACCACAGCATCGCGATTATAGGGTATTGGGGAGAAAAACCTTGAACGTTCCATCCTCGTCCAAATCCAAGGGTCCATGCCGCGCCGCGGGCATCAAAACCGATGGCGTTGCTTTCGCGAGCACGACACGATAAACTTTCACGGCCCTGCCCGCACCGCAACACCCCTCCCCCTGGCCACAGACCGGACACAAGCTCCTCCTTTGGGTTGAAGCAACCGAAATCTTCTGCTCAATGCTATGAAGCTGCGGTAGGTAGCATTGGGGGCCGTTGAAGAAAAAAGAGCGCGAAGAATCGAGCAAATAACACTTTGCAATTAATATGTCGATAGTAGATAGGAATTGCCGTGGTGTTGCATTGCAGATGTCTTCCCACCCCTCCGTCCCACAGTCCCATCCCGCGCCGCTCATATCCGGTTTTTGTCACCCACATCACGACGCAGAAAAAAACCTGTTCGGTGGTGACATTTCTCGGCCTCGGTGATCTGCAACCTACGTTTTGGCATCAGTTTGGGATTCCCACTGTTTTCCCCGCCCGCCGTCCCCTTCTCTCCTCCCCCAGACGGACAGCGCCGCAAGGCGGTTACGGCTACGGAGTTTACAGGCTAAGAGGGCGAGAGATGCCCGGCCGGTCCGCCGATCATCGCCAACAGAGCTGGATGTATCCGTAAAGCCCAAGAAAATTTGCACACCCCCGGGAGCTCCGCAAAACAGACTTCCAGCTTGTCCCGCTGGCGCTCTGCGCTGGCCCGGCGCCGTTCGCCGAGGACGGAAACGATGCGCGGGCGACTCTTCAATCTCCAAGCCAATGCCGCGGGGTGCGCCGGATCGTCTCCCAAGCTCCCTAACACAACAGAGACAAAGAAGTCAACGGCCGCTGAAGGATTTCTTGGGGTATTTGAAAGGACCGCATAGATGCTAGCTGTCCTTTTTCGAGATAAGGTTGATAGAGTAGCTGAATTCGCCATCTACCATCCCGTGATAGTCTTGAGCCCGTCCTACACTAATTGAATTCGGTCTAGACGGTCCAGAAATCCTTTCTTCAGCCTTTCAAGCAAAGGGTATGATAGAGAGACATTTTGTGGAGGCAATATACAGACGGGCCTGGACATTTCGCAATGCGGCGCCTGTCTTGCGCGCGCTTGCGTGCTGGGTGCCACCCCATGATCCATCCCCATCGATCGAGGCCGACCTTTCCATATTGCTTAATTGCGGCCCTCGAGTCATTTTGACGACAACGAGGAGGGGTGGGTTGCTGAACGAGGCCCGAATAAGGCCCTGCCAACCCCTTGATAGTGTAGCTGTAGATCGTCGGACTGCGCCTTGCTAGATCGAAAGGGATGGGACCCCCTCGGATCGCGGAATCGAAAGAATCGACGATGTCGAAAAGAAAATCTCGAAGAAAAAAATCCAGGGCTGACTGGCTGTCAAGGGTCTCAGGTTTTTTCCTGCCTTTGCATGTGGCCTGACACGCCTGGCGTGACGATCCCATCAAGTTTTCCAACCAACGCTACCAAAGGCTTGGGCAGCAGCGCCGCCGCTGACGGGGAGCTAAGGTATCTTCATTCTTTGACGTGTCTGAAAAAACCACAAGACCGGGTTTTCGAGTCCAGGGATGCGGGACAAGCAAATGGACGACGCCCGATCTAACTTCTCAGCCATCAGTCATAGCTTGCCCATGGTCTCCATCCATCCCTCTGAAGAAACAGAACCCGTCGTCCAACCGTCGGCGCCGGCTTCCCGTGGTGCCGTGCTAAGGTGAAAATCTGCACCGGTCATTCGGGCAGCATGGCCTTGTTTTCCTTCAACACTAGAAGGCTCCATCGTGTGTTAAAACCGGGTTTCTTTTTGAGGCCTGGCTGAGCTGAGAGGGGCCTCCCCCCGAAAATCCTGGGGAGAGCTAGACTCGGCTAAGCTTGAGCTACTGCGTTTGGTAGCGATGGCTTCAGTATGCGTACGTAAAAAGGTGGTGAGTGTGCAGTCCATGTGGACTTGCCAGAGAGCAAGTGCAAGAAAGGCCATTGACGAACAAGTTTCTTGTTTAGTGGATGGCCCCAGGATGAATCCTCCATGACGGGAGCACTAAAGAAGCTGTGAATCTCTGACCCATAAGGTACGTATAAGGATTCGTGCACAACTTACACAAAAGGGCGTCTTCATATCAAAGCCATGTGAGCTGGGGTTGTCCTTGCTCAATTTTGTGCAAGAAGATGGGGCCTTGACGCCTTGGGGCTGTGGACTCACACCCCGTGCCCTACGTTCACTCCACGGAGTCCGGAGCGGGCTGGCGGCGTCCGGGAAGGAAAAGAGAGAGGGAGGTTGGGGGCTTCCTCTGGCATTGTGGAGCCCGGTGCTGGCCGGCTCTCCCCGGCCTGTGACGGCGATCCAAGCAGAACCTCAAGACAACGCATCGTCCAGGTCTCCACTCGAGGTACGGAGTTACCTTGTGGATAGGCTTTGTCTTCTCGCAGCTCTCTCGCTCGGCAGCGAGGCCGTGAGGTCCGTCTGGTCCGGTTGAGGTCCCCGTCCAGTCAGGCAAGAAGAGTGGAATTATGGAGAACCCGGAAGATTCACGGGTTTCTAAAGTTCCTGAGGGAGATTGTTTGGGGAGCAAGGGCCGTCCGCTGGGCGTCACGACTCACAGAGCAAACAACTCCACAAGCATGAGCATATCCGCAATGCCAAGCTTGTTTCTGGTGTATGTACTCACTGCGTGTGCTTGCCAATGGCCTTGGAAACCTGAGGCCACTACCTTTCCCCAGTTTGTGCTCCAGCTCAGTGAAGGCTGAAGCATCCAGACTCTTCATCGACCGCCGGGTCTGGCTTAGGTAAGTCTGCCTCCGTCGTTTCAAGGCGTCCCGGTGGGGATGTTCGATGCTACCGTGGCACGCGTTGGTTGTCCTCGTCGCTGCGATAGTGCGTCCTTTTTTTCACGGGAAAGGTCTGGACTCTCGAGTTTCCACAGAAGAAGGTATTCTCCTCAGATCCTGTGACGGGGGATCCGCAGAGCGAATCCAGGAACCGGTGACGCAGCACGAGATGCGCATAGAGAGCGTCGCACAGCATCGTGACTGTACATACATACGGGAACAACTGGAACTCGGCACCCACCTCAGCTCCGTCTGGCTCGCAAGCTTCAGGTATGGAGCCCGCCCAGGAACTCCTGAGAAGCGAGAAGATGCTGTGGATGATTATGGCATGACTGGAACAAGAGGGTCCTTTCGTACCCAAGTGTACCTAACAGTTGCACTACGTTCCCACCGTCATACCTGAATGTAGGGAACCACCTCTGCCCCCACTCCTATCCAGGTACGCATCACAGGGTCAGAGGATGCGTACTACGGAGGAATAGTGAATAGGCAAACGCCAGTAAGTGCATTCAAGGGGACCAGTCTTTTGGTGGAAACGATGACAAGAGAAACATGTACTCCGCAATACGCTACCTCTTCCGTACCCAGTATTGTTTCGATGCGCTTTGGCACTTAAGGTCCAGACCGGAACATAGGGCACAACTTGTCACCGCAAGCGTGTGAAAGATATTGCAAACAAAGTCCCCACCATGGTGCGTGGTATCGCAACATTGACCCATCGTCGCACGCAATGCAGGAACTTTGCTGGCGTGCCCGCTGAGAGCCGACTCGATAGTATCAACGGTGAGGGCCGGGTCGGTGAAACACCTGGGTCTCGGCGATGGAGACTCTACAACGACATGCGCCGCGTAAATACGATCTGCCTGACTGTCGGTTTAGACAAGAAAAAACAAAAACGGAACTTTGGTGACTTGACAGTGATTCAACATGCACGCACTCTCACAGTTACACACAGTTACTCACACAAGAAATAATCCCCACTAGTTACATGTGTGGGGGGGTTTGGTAGGTTTCTGCTTTTCCATTGCGAAACTTTGTTTTATTCCTTTTTGTCTCTACTGGGAATGTTGGAATACAGTGGGGGGTTCATGTTGCGCCATGTTTCGCTTTGATCGAGTTAAACAAACTCCTCTTTGCATAACGCTGTAGATTGCTTATTGCTGTTGTTTTTCTGTCTTGCTTTAAAGCATAAACGACTTCTGCGGGCGGTTTTTTAGGCGAGACCGGCAAAGCTAAGTAAGACCTGATATCTTTTCCCCCCTTGCCTTGTATCCGTAAATCCACTACACAAAAGGAAAAAGCAAGAAGGTTACACAGCCTCAGTCGAAAGACGGACGGCCTATCCTTGACTTTGACGGGAGAATGACGAGCAAAAACAGAGTTGCATAGCAATAGCAAGCATAGGCGGGTGAGTGGTTAGGTAATCGGCGACCCATAGGTCCTTGAGACAAAGGCGACGATGAGTCAACTTCAAACCAGGACGTCACCGAGCTGCCAAGGCAGGAGAAGAATGGAATCTACCAAACGATACAAAGTACCTTGGTTCTTGCCAGCTTACCTCCAAGCTCGGTGGTACCTGGAATGTCAACGGGGAATGCTGGCCGGAAACCGAAAATAGTCCCCGAAAATAAGACATGGAAACTTTGAACAAAGTTGGAACCGGGTCCCAAAGTCCGGTGAGGTGTCTCCGTACCTCCTTGCCTTTTCGTAACCTCTTTCATGAAGCTAAGCGAGAAAAAGTTAATAGTAAGAGAAATCTTGAGGATCACGAGCATCTCTCCAATATTGAAGAGTCATAGTCATACGGATGAGAAGCCGAGACGATGGAAAGGGAAAAAAAAGTGGATGAAACCCGCCAAAAATGGGAAGAAAAGAGTCACAGCTTCACATGGCAAGAAAATTTGCAAGCACCAAAAAAACTCCGCAGTAAGGTATCCGTGAGGTAGGTTGTCTTCGAGCTCCATGATCCCATCCAATTGGGCCCAGCGCCGCGGCATCCCGCGTTGACAGCTCCGAGAACCCTGTCTCTAATCCCGCCTATCCGCCCCTCCCTTAGCTTTCCATTTTTTTCTTTCTTGGGTTTCCAATTCTTTCTATGGAGTGCCTGCCTACGAAATACGTATTTCCCACCACCGCTTTTCCATGCCTCGAATCAGGTATCAATAGTCAAGGGTACGAAGGCCATCCGGGAATGGTAGCGAGCAATGTTCGGACATTTAATTTACTTGACCCTGTATTCGCAGTCTCGCATTGTGAATTGCAAAAGAGCTGAGCTGTGCTGTTCACGGTCACAAGAATCTGGATCACGGATGGACTCCTTCCTAACGTGGTATGGCGTCGTCTGGCTTTTGCATATTCTTAGCCTTGGGTGCGTGCATGGCATTTCGCGCACATCTTGCTTGCTTTTTTCGCTTCCTAGTTGCAAAATGCCATCCTCCATCTTTCTCCCACTCTGTCATCAACACCCCCTGATCGAAGAATGTCTCTAAGCCAGTGTTTGGGGGTGTTGGTTGTCTTTCCATTTCTTTTCTCTTCCCACTACGAGGTATTCGTAGCTGTCCCCCACCCCCCCACGCACGCCACGCAGGAATGCTCTTGATTTCTTATGTCTTGATCCAGCTAGACGGTCCATACACCCACTTCCTGTGCCCGCCCGTATGAGTCTGCATTCCAATGAGGCTGCCAGCTGCTTATGGCACTCGTAAAGCTCTAGCAAGCCACCGCCTAGTTCGACAGTTTCACAGAGTTTTTCAAGTCAAGTCAAGTCATGCCATCATCATTATCATTACCCAGCAAACGTCCCGCCCTGCCGGAGCGCCTTGTTGCCGCAGGTTCGTGAACGTATGTCTCTCCGTCAGAGTCAAGTCAGCCTTGTACGGGTTACCGACGAACTGGGAAACAAGAGCGGCCGGCGTGTAGTCGTACGTCCCCAAGTAACACAAACCTGCGTCTAAGACTTTTATTCCTTTCCGTACATTTTGCTGTGAACATGAATTGGAACGTCTTACGAATACCATATTTTGTACCTTGCACACAATTGACGAGAAAAGTTTTCTCCCCCCCCCCCCCCTTTTTTTTTTTTTGTGTAACTTGCGCGCCGTGTGTACAGAAGATGAGAACCATGAGGAAAACGTCTCACTCAGCGGTACCCATGGGTATCTCGTAACTTCGCCTGGCGTAAGATGGCATGTTGCCCACCCCTTGGTTCACCCATTTCCCACAATCCAGATATTTTTCACCGTTGCACCGACACCCCGTTCTCAGCACCGGGCGTCGCACAAAAAGAACTAGGACAGAGTTTTCGCTTTGATCTAGAGCAAGGCATAGGTAACATTTTCCATCGTGGTAGCCGAACCCTTGGGGAAAATTTTTCAATCATCCAAAACCGAAGCTAGCACGAGTGTCTCTCTCGATCTCCCTCTCTCTCAACATTCACCTCGCAGGCAAGAGACTTCTAACCATACCTTACGCAGCATGTTCCCAGGCACGCATAATGTCCGGTATGGTGTACCTGTCCGTAGGTAGTCAGGTTGCCCTGCCCTGCCCTGAGGCTCAACTTTAGGTAACTGCGTAAGGTAGGGCGCCAGCAAACCCAGCAAGGGGCCCCCCGCCCAAAACTTCCAAGAATAAAAACGACCCATGTCCGGGAGATCTTCCCCGTGGGCTCCACAGCCTCTCTCAGGCTGAGAGGCCTGGTGAGAAAGCAAAAGTACTTTGTAGGCAAGTATTGCACGCAAGGATACAAAAGATACCTCTGCTCTGCCGTGCCCTTCCTTGTGCTGCCACCCCCACCGGCACATCCCGCGCCCCGGTGCTGGCCAACGCTATCCAATTCGCAGAGCTCTGGGCGTGTGCGACAACGCACAAACCTAGGATGGACAAAACACACGCCCATACATCTCTCTCACTTGCAAAGATGCAGACTTGTATCCGTAGTCCGTAACAGAAGGGAGAATTGGGATTATGAAATCAGGTTCTCACAGAAGAGACTTCACAACGGGAGGGAACTTGCACCTCCGTCGCCGATACACTTACACTCTCTGGCCTGATCGCTCACCAATAGACCAAAGAAAAAGAGCATGTTTCAGCCTACGAGTTCTCATCGGCCGGGTTCGTGTCTTGTCTCGCACTTCCAAAACCTAACACGCGAGAAAAATCTCTTCAACCAAAGCTGAGCTGAGCTACGACCTACAGGCACAACAACGGCGAGCCCTGTGCCCTAGCTCCGGGTCACACCCCCCTCTGGAATGCCCCGTCTCGTAAGGCTCACCAATCGTCGGCACGCCTTGGAGACTCGCCAGGTGGTCTAGCTGTAGATTCTTGTCCCGGCGTGGTGCTTCCTGGTTGACTGCACATGAACCGGCCCGCAACAACGGCATCAGGCCATCCACGAAAGCCTCTCTCTCCAGTAAAGTCTCACTCTCACTCTCGCTCTCATCCCACTCCTCTTGCTCGGGGGGAACGGCAGAGGCTTTTGCATAGACAGACGCCCCTTTGGTTGAGCGCGGCCCGTGAGCCCAGCGAAAGCCCGCAATGGGGATAAGTGATGCGCAAGCCTACTGGAGGAATTGTCTCGCTCCAGCTGCAATCTGCCTGATGAGCCCTTCAAATCGCTTTCAGAAATTTTCACAAACAAAAAAGGGACGCGATCCACATCCTCACCGGTGAAGCACAAGCTCCCACGGTCCCGTCAGGTCAGGCCGAGAGGGGCTAAGTTTCTGATCCAAGAGGCTTCAACGACGTGGGGAAAGGGACGGAAAATATGCACATGCCACTATGACACGTCGCCAGCATGAATGACGGGCATCAGAAAAACGGAAAAAGAAAGGGGGCAAAAGATTGGTGAAAGGAGAGAAAAACTTCCTCATCCCTTCGATTGCGCCCGGTTCCCACACAGGCAGCCCACTCACTGAACGTAGGCTGGCTCCGACTCCAGCTTCCAAGACCGTACATAGACGAGGAAAAAGTCATCAGATCATATGGAGTATCCGTTCGTACAAGGGGCAATGACAAGCCGAATCGATGATCTGAGGGCCAGAGGCGGGAAATTTCCCCCGCTACTTGCTTCCCAGTAAGCGGGCCGCGGAATGGCGGCGGGCGGATACGATCTGTCTCTCTTTCACAAAGTGAGATTTGTGTGCTTGAACAAGCCCAGCCGGGGGAAAGGGAACACTGTGACCGTTCCATCGGAAACGGGAAAGCCCAGCATTTCGTCGCTCCAAGATCGAACCATTGTCTGATCAGGTCAGGACGACACTCCCCCCTCCGATGACAACGACGGTAAATGAGGGACAAGAGGCAGCCGATTGCGGATGAAACGGGGCCAGCCTAGGCGACGTGAGGAGGTCAATGTTGAAAAATGAGGAAGAAAAAAATGCCTCTCCTTACGAATGCCCAACAAAAAGCTTTGAGGCGGCCCGTGTCGATTTGGCAAATCTGGCTGCCCATTTGCAATTGCTGACATGAACGGCAACAACATGAGGCAATTGCAATGCGGCGAGGGCATCTCCCCGATTGGTAATGAGACCAGCAAAGTGCAATAAATTAGTGCCGTGGCCTAGATCGCTCAGCAGTTAAACAAGGTTTTCTGGCTGCAACTCACCCCGGATAATTGCAAAAAGTCTGGACCGGTCTTGCAAGCTTTGTGATTCGGCCTGATGTTGGTTAAAAGTCAACCGAGGAGGATGAAACGGGAGCCCGCCCCAAGATTCGATGACTTGTGGTCGTGTCAATCTGTGACTGGCAAAGAGGATGCTGACGCATCTCCTGGCAGTTGGCTCTTCTTTCCATGTCTACCAGGTACCTTGACGCGGCACGGCATTGAAGCTTCGTCGAAAGCTGCCACGCTGCTTGGACAGGAATACTCCGTAGAGAAGGGAGGGACGGTCCCGTTGTTTGAACCTCGTTTGCCGTGGCTGCCCAGGAAAGATCTGGTTCGCCTCAACCCCTTGTCCCTCCCGTCCCGGAAACTTTCGACTCAATTGCCTTTGGACGGGTTCTCGCCAAATGTGCCCTGCGTTCACGTAAGGTGCGGGAAAGGTGCGGGTATCCTTCAGAGATGTTCCTTGCAACGATGCCGGACACGGGACGAGGCACGGCACAAGTTTGTCTCAGGCTCCTCAACCCAGCAGCCGTGGCCCAGACAGCAAGAACAATGACACTCTGTACAACGGATCGGTTCGCTGCTCTTCCTGTCAGCGTTTCCGCTGATGATGCTTGGCCATGAAGCGTCTGACCGTGCCGTGTGTCACGGGCCTGCGAAGTATTATTCCCAGGGACCTGGGATGCCGTGCTCCTTCGGATCAGTCCAGACTGAAAGATGAAACCGGTGTCCGCAAGGTGAGAGGAGAGAAAAAGCTTGACGTCATTGTCGGCTTGTCGTGGTTCAAGGGGGAAAGTCGTATTACGTGAGCCGGCTCAAGGCTCTTGACGATGGGGCGTGACCGCCGAGCAGACAATAGACAGTTCAGCTTTCGGGCCTGCATCTATCCGAATTCGAAAGGCACAGGCACAGGCACCGATGAGAAAGACCAGAGTCTTTCGTCTGGTGCGAGACAATAGCCTCCATGCTCTCATTCAATCAGAAATTACATAACATGACCGACCACTTGTGAGATATGCGGGTGAGACGGCCCCTGCCTCGTTGCAAGAGAGTACTGTTACCGCAGCACCTGGTTGAGTGGTTGGACGGCAGAATATGTCTAGTGCTCATACTACAGCGGGTAAAACGGGTTTGTTCAATAGAGACCGCCCGACTGGCGAAGGTCGATCACCGTGATACTTGTTCGAGGGCGTGTACTCGCTGTGCAGAAGAGGATGTGTCTGAGGTGTAAAACAGAAAGCGATGCGGTGGCTTGAAATGCAGGCGGTGCAACGGCACAACACCCGCTTTGAGGTGCCATGGTGGTTCGACTCGAGACTCCCGGGCTGCTCTTGAATACCGTTGGCGCTCAGAGGTACTAAAGCATTGCAGCACAACTGAAGCGAGCCGACGAAACCCGCCTCGGATATGGACACCCAGTTATCACGGGGAGTATAGACGAAGACCGCTCAGCGTACAACGAAGCCAAACTTTGTTTTGTTCTGTTTGCTGTTATTTTCCCTTGATACATGTCTCCGGAACGACTCACCGTTCAATGTAAAACAGAACGGGTAGTAAAGGCGACTAGGGCGCAGAGCGGGCATAACGAGCAAGAACCTGAGTACGGAGTACCTAGGCCATTGCCAGGCGCACAGAGACCAGACACCATGGATCGATCGATCCGTTGCGTTGCCCTTTCCGAAGGGAGACGGAGAGAAAAGAAGATTCAGAGGCTGATCCATGCTGTGAAAATTTTCACCTCTGTCCCAAGCCTAAAGTACCGTAAAGCGAGGGCCAGGCCGCCAGGGAAAGGGGGCGTCAAAACGCAGAACGGCTGGTTTGACGAGTTGTAAGATCGTTGAAGGAATGAGTCTCTGTAGCCACTCCCCCAACAAACCCGGAGAGGGGGAGATGGAGGCATAACAGACTGGTCGTATCAAATGCTGCCAACACCGTCACAATGCACCATGTCTAAAGTGGAAGTCGTCGTCCAGTTGGCTGTGGTGCAAATTATTGCTGCTGCTTCAGAGACGGAAGGAAAGGCGTAAGCTGCAGATGAAAGGCAAAGGCACACTTGCGGCCCTCAAGCCTGCTTCTTGGGGATCATGATCGTGAGGCATTGTCTTCCTATTGGGTTATTTGGCTATTCCAATTCGTCAAGGCCACCTAATGTGAGTAGGCAGAGGCGAACTGAAGGCGAACTGAGGCAACTGTAAGTGGCTCGGCGCTGACGGAGCTTGTCTGTCACACACACACACAGTCTGCAAAGAGACAGAAACGGCTGGCAGGCATCGGTTAAGGCAGTGACAGGTCGGACTGCCTGGATAATGTCCGGGGGCTGAAGCTGAGGCGTTGTGCAGAATCGACTTGAACAAAGGTGCTCCTTGCTCTGCACTCTACAGCAAGCAGGACGCAGGCCTTTCTGAGTGATGAAGCACACCTTCAGGCGAGCACTGAGAGGCGGACGCCTCGTCTGTTGGAAATTCCCATGTCGAATTGAAGCCCTGTCCTGGCCACTTACAGCTGGCGAGACGCCTGAGCAAGCCGCCCTGTCTCCAGACTCTCCCACCTGTAGGCTGTCCTCAGCAGAGCGCCTCTGGTGCTGGAGGGTTCCATAATAGCACTATCGCTTCCACTGGGCCGCCACACCCTTGCTCGAGGATGTTAGAGCTGGTCGCAATTTGGATTGGGCTGGGCCGCACTCTCACGTCCCATCCCCATCCTTGCCCTTTCTCTCCCATCGGCGCTTGCCAATAGCGGCTGCCTCAACTGCTGCTGGTGGGTGTCGACTGTTGAGTGAAAGACTGGAAATGCACGACTGAACGGATTGAGGAGTCACGGAGTGAGTGTCGTGGTTAGCGTTCGGGCCGCCCTCGACACCCCACGGATTCGGCCCAGGTTCAGGGCCCAGATGCAGTCCAGTCCAGCCCACTGAGTCCAGTCCTCAAGCCAGGCAGGCCCCTCGGTTCTGGAAAAAAGATTTCCTTGAGGGCTCCGAATATTGGGGGCGGCATTGATGGAGACCGAGAGGGCCATGGCAATAAGCAAGCCAGCTCCGAGATGAGGAGCAGTTGTTGATGATGTGCACATCGTTGGTCTGAGCGGCGGTAGCAAACAGCCAATTTGAAAGGCTGCCCAGTGCCACAATGCCATTTCTTTCACTTCTTGCTCGACGCCCCCTGGGCTAAAAGATAGCTTCGTAGCTGTTTTCACTCTCCTGTCCGTATCCGAAGCGCCCTGTACAGTAACACGCGCGGAGGGGGGGGGGGTGGTAGTCGTCTATTGGACGTGGTCAGGTTGCGGCTACAACCGAGATTCCATCGCACATGAAAAAGAGGCTCTCGCAACTTGGCGGGGGTCTTCCTGTCAGATACGTCTCCTCCTAAGTCCCCTCCCTTTTCTTGTGGATCGTGGATCTGAGTGAGAAAAGAGGGTTCGGCTTCGAAAGCCGCCTCCATAATCCATTTCGGTTCGAGCTGCGTCAGAGGACGATGGGGCAGAAGGATGGCATGTTTTCTCGCGCAGCTCACGTCATGGCGGTCATGTGGGCGGCATTGTCGTTATTTACGGGTCCCCTGTTGTCCGCAATGGACAAAATTTTCTGAATTGACGATGGATGCCGCCGTGGTGTATGGATGAGCAGGCGTGTGCGTGTGTTTGGCGGGGAATCGTCCTGTCAGGGGGGGGGGGCCAGGTGCGTATTCGCCCTTTTTGGAATTTGACATCGGGCATAGCTGCTGGTGAGAGGTGGTGCCCTGGGCTGCGGGTTTGCGACTGCGGTGCTCGGAGACATGGGCCACTCCGGTCGGAGAGCAAGAGATGAGAGACGAGAAAGACGTCGTGGCGACTGTGACTTGCTGAAAGCATCTCATCTTTCTCGCTTGCTCAATCTTGGTGCGAGATTGCGAACTGTGCGCCATCGAGATGACCTCCACCGTGGGACAGCAGCCATGCATTATTATGTTTTGCGTGCTTGCGCAGGTGCGAGCAATATTTGGGATGTGTGTCGTTGAAGCCGTCCATGGGCATAAGGTAAGGTACCTTAGGCACGTACGGATACATAGGTACATAGACACATAGGGTAGGTACCTTAGGTAGCCAGGTTTCATCCTCTCCCGTCGTACGCAGTGGCTCGATGACTAAGATGGCTACGCTGGCTTGATGTTTAGTGCCTGTTTGACCTCAACCTGGAAGATACCTTCCCTCCCTTGCCTCAATACAGCTGTACAAAGGTACTTACATACTTACTCCATGAGGCAGGAAGGAGGCACGGGGGAGGAAGAAAAGAACAAGGCGACGGATGGACAAGAAAAGAAATACAAGGTACCTTACCTTACCTTGTGTAGTTACTGTGTAGACGGGAAAGCAAGGTATCTCGCAAGACTTTGGAAATCCCCATTAAAACAGGCGGCATGGGAAAGTGCAATGCGTTGTGCCCGACATTGATGGCACGCACAATCGTACCATGCATTTGCCAGTTCCATCATCTCTCACTTTCTCGCTGATTCGCCATTCGCCTCTTCCACTGTCAAGACTCAAGAAAATGATAAGCCATGGGAAACACGTGTACGGCAATCCGTATCCTGCTTCTCCAATTTCTGTCCTTTTTGCGGCTTGCCTGTCTGCCTATCCTTGGGCCTTTTGGAGGGCCCTGAGCTGCACGTTGTCAACGTGGGCAATTGAGCCGTTGTTAAAAGTCTGCAATGACACGACAGAAAAAAAAAACAAAGGGAAGAAAAAAAGAAAATGCATTCGTCAATCAGACGCCCACCAACCAACTAACCAACTCCCCTACCCAACGTGCCAATGTTCTCCATTAATTGTTACCTTAGTTGTGTTCCCGAATTGTGCGCCGTGTCCGACCCCCGTTCACCGTCCCTTCCCAGTCTGTGGTATGTTTGGCAACTTCCGAGCGAACAAAAATAATCTTGGCGTGGGATCCTGGCCAAAAATTTCACCAACTTTTGCTCCCTTCGGACCAAACTCCATTGCACCTGGGCCAGGGGCTCTCAAAGCGTAATGGGGGAATTCTGAACTTTCCGGCACTATGACGACTTTTCCCGCAGACCCACAGCTCCGTCGCGAAGGCTCCAGAAGTGGATGCGGATTGTACTGGCATGGACAGAGTTAGAGTCATCGTTGATTGCAGTCATCAGAGTCACACATGTAGGTAGTAGCAAGTGGAAAAATTCTTGTCAAGCTTTGAACTGGTCTTATATTTTTAGTCCATCTCAATCTGGCGGTGCTAGTCCATTCCTCTGGAATCTCCGCTACCCAGTTGATCCGTCACTTTGATAATGCCTAATGTTTATACCAGTCCAAGCTGCCATCAGAGGTCATTTTGCCTCGAGGCTTCGTCCAATGCCAGGGTCTTTACCCAATCTTTGTCGTAATATGAGCCCTTCCGCTCTCGTGACAGGCTACCTCTCGTCCATTCCGTGGCGAGGTGTAATGAAGCCAAAGGCGAGATACTCAATCTCTCAGTGCCATACTTGTAAACAACCCTTGGTTACAAGCCCCCAATGTCGTGGTACAATCCCAGTGTTCCCCATTGTTGCGCCCTGATGTGATTGATGCAGATGTCCTGCCAAGCCAAGTACTCCCCGTAGTTGACCCAAACTTTTTTTTATAATGCAGTACTCCGATGTAATGCCCGTTTTGTTACAACAAAGTCGAACCCAAAGAAAAGAGAAAAGAGTCGGTGTGCCGATGGTGTATCGAGTAAACTGAGTTGCGTGCTGTGCTGGAAAAAGGAAACGATGCCACTTGTGCTGTGGCTAAGGGTATATTGAACAGTGTGTAGATGAAGAGGTCGTGTTCGATTTAGGCGGATCGTCGACGCTGGAGTCTCGCCTGATCAAAAGACACGGCGTAGGCTTGGAGCTCCCTCTTGGCCTTCTCTGAAAGCTGGCTGCCATCGGTGTTGGATGATGTTGTGCTCTGCATCGAGCACAGGCTGGAGTTGGAGCTCGAAGTGGTCAGGATGCGGCGAGTGGTGATGGGTGCCCTCGAAGACGAGAGGTAGGATTGTCTGGAGGGGGTGCTGCCGTAGGGTTGAGCGTTGGTGAAGTCGTAGGCGGGCGAGAGGTAAAAGTTGTTGGACTGTTGCCTTGAAGAAGTCCAATGGTAGGAAGGGGTGTTCAAGCCGGGCGAGCTGGCAACTGAGCTGGGTGTAGATGTCTTCTCGAAGTCGGCGAGGCGGCAGGATTCGGAGCAGTAGGCAGTACCATCGGTCTGCTTGTCGCAGCCGAGGCAGAACTCGTGAGTCCAGAGGTCGAAGGCGGCCATTGCGTCTGGATTTGTGGTGTGTAGTTGTTTGAGTTTGGCGTTGTGTGTTGAGCAGAACCGAGTCGAGTCGACTAGTGTTCAAGTGGTGGACTGAAGGTGATAGTTGGTGTTTGTGCGTAGGCAAGTTGTGATGATGAGTGTGGGTGGTGGCAGGTGTTTAAAGAGTTGGACGGGATTGCAGTCGATATATGAACAGAACTGGAAGCCACAAGCAAGAGAGTGAGCCACGAACAAATGCCGGAGGAGAAGATGAGTGAAGTCGAATGATGAGAGAACGAGAGGTGGATCGAGGTGTGGAAAGAGGTCGGCTCATATGTATCTATCCTCGAAGCACAGCCTGCCCACCAGTGGAGGAGCACGCCCAAGACAAGTGCATAGCAAGTACCTATGCTGTGGTGGGTGGGTGCAAAGATACTTGGAAGTGGATGAAGAGAGCGACAAGACGCCTATCCACCACACAAACATGCACACACAAGCACAAGGGCAGGAAGTGGCCGCTAGTGTGCAGGTCCGGGGTGGAGATGGCAAGATGGAGATGGAGGGCAGAGAGACAGCAAGGATGGCATTGGCAATCTGATGGGCTGAGCCAGGACCCCACTTCCAGTTCTCATGCCCTGCAGCAGATAGCGCCCACTGAAGGAGAGAAGGGGGTGTCTGGGAGAGAGAGAGGGGTGTGGGAGGGGAGGGTGGGAGAGCAAGGTCAAGTGGGAGTGAGGAGTGAGGAGTGAGGGAAAGAGGGGGTGGTGGGTGGTAGAGAGAGATGAGGGGAGAGCGAGATGGACGAGATTGGCAAATTGGGGGGGAAGGGAGCGAGAGAGAGTCACAGAGTTACAGAGTCATAGAGAGAGAGATTTGTTAGGGAAGGGGACGAGGGAAGGGAAAAGGTACGTACCCATCTTCGGGAGGGCAGGGGAAGAAGGAGCAGGGGACCATGCAGCAGACTTGGGCGTGTGATGATTTCCTCTGAAAATTTTCTGCGTCAAAGGCGACAATTGTGCTCACTGCTCAGAGTTTGAGGGCATGAGCGAGGTGTGTGGATGGCTGGATAGAGAGAGGGGGTGCAGAAACATAATTCATCAGCAAAAGAGTTGTGAAGAAATGGAAAGTGCAGAGAAAGCGGGGGCAACAGTGGGGTGGAGTACCACTTCGTACTTGCTAGGTGAAACTGGGCTGCAAAGATACTTGGTCTTGTCCGCTCTGCTGCTGCTCCTGCGTTATCTGCTAACTTCCTGAGGATGCGACGGTCCCAAGGCAGGCCAGCCAGAGAGAGCCAACTGTCGACGATGACGCCAGGGGGCGTGTGGACATCCGAGAGCTGCATAAGGCAGCACCCAACGCAGTCCAAAGTGCCTACGGATACTGCGTTCTCCAGCTGAGTGGGCAGCAGCTCAGAGTGGATGCAAATGGCGTGGGCAGCAGGAAGAAGGCAGCCAATATCTGTACCCCTTTCGCTTGTATTGCGGCATCGCCAGGCACGGGTCTGCCCGCTTATGACAGTGATGCAGCGGATTGTGCAATCGATGACTACCTCAGGCATGAGTACAGATGGCTGCTGCAGACGCTGAACCGAAGCTGCTCGTTTTGAACCAGTGAGAACGAGCTGGGTGGATACCAAGAGACCTGTGTGCGCTAGCATCGTTTCGGTCTAGTGGATGCGGGTGCCATTGGCCCAAGCTCTCGTCTCCGGTCATTCCCTCACGCCCCTGGTGCTGTCCCGACTCCCAACTCCCAAGGAAACTGGTCCACTTTCTCCGTCTTTTCCTTGCCAAGGCCAAACCCATGATCGACACCCACGCCCTCCCAATTGATGCTAGCATAGCTCGACCCCGGCCTCTCTCAAGGAGCAGTCAGGTGTTTGGTCAGATCCAGAGCTGCACCGTCGTCTCTCTTCCTCCTGTGTTGCTTGCTGCCACCAGAGACATTGGTAGCAGCAGCAGCAGCAGCAAAACAGCACACCACCACGAGCACCAGCATCGCTAGTATTCGTACTCTGTGCCCTGCATGGGATTCTGGCCACCCTCGGACGACCCAAGAGAAGGATATGTTGAATTGAGTGATTAATCAGAAGTGCGTTTGCGACTGAACCACTACTTTCAAACCCGGCCTGAAAGCTGAGCACCCCAGAGCTCGATCCCGTTCAACGCCACTGTACACAAGCAGTACGCCTCGGGGGCTGGCTGGACCAGTCTAGATCGCGCATGTTCCCTCCTCGCCTGGGTGAGCCCGGACTCGAAGCAAGGAGATGAACGAAGAAAGAAAGAAAAAACTCTTCAACCTCAATCTCCCCATTGGTTCCCAACATTCTTCGAATCCCTACATCCCCCGTGTCCGTCACCATCAGCTTCCTCGCAATTCTCGTTGTCGCTGGTATTATGGTGTTCTCCAAAAACACATGGACACAACGGGTGTCAGCCCAAGATCATGAGAAATCAAATCAGTCCTTTGTCGAATGATATGAGGCATGGAGCCGCGTGGGGGGTTGGTATCCGCAAAAATAGCGACAGCGGCCGTCCCCTTCTCCATGGCCCACTTTACTTTGTGACTCTGTAAAGACTGGAGAATTTTCCTTGAGCGGCAGAGCGGCAGTGAAGAGAGGCCAACGGCGACGGCAACACCACACACGCCGGGCCAAGACAGACTGCCATTGAATACTACGATGGCGGTAGCCAGTGGAGAAGGCAAACTCAACACTGGCACTCTTTCTGGCACGACTGGTCCCTTCAAAATTCAGACAACTGATGGATGCTGGTGCAACCAACCAACCAAGCACCTTGACGTTTTCGTGTGTCTCTGCTTCTGCAGCGGCCTCTTTTCGTGTCGCCGCTTCTGTCTCAAGACGACTCCCCTCTTCTAGCCCACCACAACCACGTAACGACAACGGCAACTGATCGACCCTGCTGCAGGAGGTGGATGAGGCCGCGAGGGTTGGGGAGGGTCAGAGACCAGGTAAAAGCCGTCGGGCTCATCATTGGCTGCCAGCCAAATTGTGCAGATCCAACGCCAATATCAACACCATCCTGTCGTGGGGTGGCGTCAGAGCAAAAACCTGGGGTTGACCATCGCTATCCGTCCATCCTAGCACGCAATTGAGATTTCGTCGTGTCCTAGAAGCATTGCGAGATTCCCGTCGTCGGCTGTCTTCGTCAAGAAGGCTGTGTCCTGGTTTCGAGAGTTTCGACACAATCCTCATGACCGCCTAAACCCAGGTCAACCTGGCATGACAGCTAAACGTTAACTCGCGACGGACCACTGCAAGTCCGCCCATGGAGTCTCGCTCAAACTCCCTTCAAATACGAATTGATACTGTGGCATCACAACACCCCGAAGCTATGTCACCCTCGATCGGCTGGTCTGCCCACTGTCATCATCGTCTGTTTTCCTGGCCCATTCATCTACGTTACAGACACTGCGAAACATGCTGTCTTCCTAGCTCATGCGGACCTAGGAACTAAAACTAGTGCAGCTTGGGAGCGATTCCAATCTCTCGCAAAAGTCCGAGTACGCCCCCATGATGCACTCCTCTTCCTCAAGCAATGACTATGGAGCCAGTCCGTCAAGGGTATCGGAGATCTTGTGCTTCAACAACCCGATGTCTCCACCCTAGGCCAACGGCACGGCAGGAGTAGTCTCGCAGACACACGTCTGGAGGCTACAGTGTCACGATTCTGCTGGGTGCACTATGACACTATCCGTGACGACGGACCCGTGGAGACTCAAGAACGGTGACATAAGGAGAAAGTTCGTCACATCAACTGTCTCTCCAAAAGCTCCTATCGTCTGCAGCCGCTATTCGCCGTTGATATCTCCGTTGAGGCCCTCAGTGGTCGTCCATCCATGCAGTTGGAATTTGCTGCGGGCCAAGAGCGGCTAAACCGGTTCGGCCACCACCCGCATACGTTTTGAGGCGGGGGAGGAGAAACAGGCTCACAACGTTGAACAAATCAGCGTCACAACATGCCTCCCCACACTAACACCATACCTACCTCCCGAGTCGACCGATGGCATAGTAGGCCGTCCAGGTTGCCCACCTGACCACCCGTACTGACGCCTTCGCCCAAACATGCATTCTGCGGCCCTTCATGCAGCTTCTGCATCACGGATTGTTGCAGGACCTAACCCTGGAGCTGGATCCCCTATGGATCAGAAGAGTTCGTCGCCTTCGTCACTTTGGGGGGAGTGACGTCTTGACGTAGGAGCGCCTGCGGCTGTCGAAGCAACCACCTTGGGAAACTCACGAGGCTTCCATTGCGGAGCGACTGGATCTACAGTTACCTAACAAACCAGTGGGAGAGGTGAAGCTTTGGGCCGTTCACCACAACCTTCAACGCCGAAAGCCAATCAAGGCCGACGAACAAGACGATCCATCCCGCCATCTTTGCGATTGTCGCCGTGATCGTCCTTCGAGTGCCGGCCGCTCTTTCGACAAGGCTGCCGCGGCTATCTGATTAAAGCGCTGATCCAAATAGCAACAGCCATTGCGATCACGAAATTGATGTCTCTGGCAATAGCAGAGAGACAAGAACCCCATGACTCCTATTAGCTTGGTTTCAACGTAGCGGCACCCTTCAGATAAGCCATCTCTTTATGCACACAGCCAATCACGCAGCTTGCTTCGACCTCGCCGAGACCCTTCTTCCAGGAACTGGCACACTTCTCAGAGACATCGTCAGGATGATCATTTAATCCGCCGCCCGCTGATATCTGCATCAGGTTCCTGGGTCTCTCTCCAACCACCAACCCACTCATATCCGGGAGGTTGTGGGGTTGAGTGCAACCAACCTTGCGTGCTCCGACGGCTCCTAGCGATCTGGCGTGGGATTCTGAGGATAAGTGCTAGCCCTCAAGTTATCAGTACGCGTGTGGCGTGGGCTACGTGGGCTTTGCGCCCGCACGAGATAGTGCTGCTTCGCCCACAAGTGGGACGCATTCAAGCGCCAAGTCAACTCGACCCAGAGCGAGCGAACAGATACCTGAGAGGCGAGAATTCTCGCTCGTACGGGAATAGCCCCTTCGCCCGGATTTACATGTCGGCTATCGAGCAAGTCCTTTCTATTGCCTAACGAGACGCGGCAAATACGTCAAACTCATTCGGGAGAGCGAACATAAGATAGCATCGGATTTGTCGGCGTCCGTAACGACGAAGACGAGATTCTGCCAAATCTGCCACATACAACTTTAAATCTTTGAAGGCGGGAGCCTCGGACTTGGCTGAGATGAGGGAAGCAATAGAGTTCGATCGAGTTGCGGCCGGGGTGGAGGGCTAGGAACAAAGGATTCGCACTGGCTCCCGTCTAACGCCGTTGGTGTAGGTGCGCTAAAGCAGGAACCAGTCGCGCCAGCCTCGGGCCTGGCCATCGCAGTATTAGTGAGCTGCTGCGCTTATCGGTATCTTGGTTGTGGGACAGGTCAATTCAAGGATTGTTCAAGACGAGAAACAGCGAAACCCAGATCAACCACATCCCCCACACCTGCGGCAAGCAGTCGATGAAGAACCCGCAGCGTCGTTCGCCTCGCCCGATATCTTGCTTTTCTAGATGCCGTAGCTTGTAGCTCTAAGCTGAAGGTGAGGGTAGTCTCGATCGAGCCATGCTCCGAGCATTATTTCGGTCGGATCCGGCGAAATGGGGGGGGGGGGCAGCTGGGGGTCTTCATTTATTTCAATGCACGCCGATGATCCCGCAATGTCCCGTACTAGCCCTTATCTCACAAACCCTTCACGACCGCTGCCGAATGAAGCTGCAGCATCGAGCACAGAATACGGAGTATCTGTGTATCTATCCGTACGAAGGATACCTACGTATCGTCATCCCTCATGCCGAGAACCAGTTTCGACATCGATGCCGCACCGCAGCTTCAAAATCGAGACTAGAGAAGGCATTGCCGTGTTCCTGACACGGGCCATGCGCAAAAACAGGGACTAGCCCTGCTCCGCCCGCAAAGGAGAACTGGGGATCAGGTGGAGGTCAAAGAAGGCGTGTTCGGACCATGTCCATCTTGGTCTGTCTTCAGACGTCGAGTATCGCAGAGGCTTCACCTGGGTTCCTGGCCCTTGAATCCGAGCCGCCGCTTGTTTCTAGCTGTGGTCCCAAGACTCGGCCCTTTAGACTCTTCGACAATGCTAGGTGGATCAAGAGCGACAAGCAGACTGCAGGCGTTGAGGACGACGCAGATACCTGATAATGATATTCAGTCTAAAGGGTCTCACGCTCTCAGCAAATCTGCCCAGCTGTCTATCACTGGGGCTAGCATGGCATCAAGCGGTCCTGACTGACCCGTCGTCCTCGGTACGGATACGTTCAGCATGATCACGAGTACTTGCCGCTGGAATTCTCCAGAACACCTCCAATGTCTCGCAGACACCCCGTGACACCGTTCTTTTCTGCCCAAGCTGAGATCTTCTCAGTGACTATCCGCACCTCATTGGACGAGTCGAAAACCACAGCTTGATTACCAACGCCAGGTCTAGCCTTGTTTAGTATAACGAAGACGTAGTCCCTCAAGTACAGCAGGAATTATGCTATCGATGCGCAACCAGAAAACGACGAAGGCACCACTAATGATCGAGGGCTGGCTCGATAGGTGCGGGCGCGTTGGAGGCTATCACGGCGTCGGCCGATCGTTGTGTGACAGCAATGCACGTAATTGACGAAGCAACAGGAGACCCCCCAACTCTTTGGACCAGACGTCGAGCCGTAGTGATTTTCCTCGAATCGCTAGATCTGGCTATGAATTTGCGTGCTTACCAAGACCGCGGCCGCGTCGAATCTGGCCAAGTTCGGATAACCCGTACCTTGCAGCAAAATGGCTCACTCCTCGAAATAGTTGAGCGCCGCTGCACCATACAGAAAGGTTCCATCTCATCCGATATCAGTAGTGGAGCGCGGCACGTACTTCGCTGGACAGTGTACGGACAGATTGAGCTCACCAGGCCTGAAGGAGCATGGCAAGATTCAAGTCCCCGAACCCCTGAGCTCAGGAGCAGAGTTGCCGGCTAACGAAGTGAAAAATTCCAGGGTCCGGGACGCAGAATTCCAGAGCTTAACAATGTCGAAGTGTGAGTCAATTGCGCCCCTGAAGGCGTTGAGGGACAGGCAGAAAAAAAATCTGCAATACTCGAGTCGCCAACGTTACCAACATCCTCTGCTTTGGGCCAAATCAGGTGTGTCCTCCGGAAGCACAGAGCACGTTATTTACACACAGACACCATTCTGGGTTTGATTCGATCTTGGCTGCCATGTATTAAGCGCGATCGTTGTTCTCGGCCTCTGCTCTCCCCCATGTCAGCAACCAGACAGGCGCTGTCTTAGAGTCACCCCTCTGTCATGCTCAGCGTCCCCCACGCTTTTGCTCTCTATTTTTCTTTGAATTTTTTTCCCAACCCTTGGCGAGAAGACTGACCAATCTATGCCCTGGTCATATCGATATGCTGGAGATGCAGTGTAACTACGCTACGGATACAGCATCAGGAGTTTGTGCGAAGAAAATGGCCGACTGGCGAGAGCGACGGGAGCTGCAGGGGAGGCCTGTCCATTCAAGTCCTTTGCTATAGCCCGTCTTCGGACAGCCGTGTCAACCATTTGGAAGAGAAGCGGCGGCAGGAGACGTAGAGTGGCTCAGAGCGAGGCGTCTTGCAGCCCCTTTCGCTACCTACTCAAGTTCTCCCAGGCTTCACGAGAATCATACCTACACAACAGTCTCAGACATTTGGTGTTGACGTTGTTGCAACTTCGTGTCTTATTTGGGCAACAACATCGGAGGTTCTCATATTATGACGGTGGACGCCCATAGGGCTCCAGTCCCAATGATTCCCAAATCCCTTGGAGGAGCCGCCGAGTATCGCGCTGAGGTGAGCGTCCGCGCCGCCATGACTAGAATTGTGCTGGATGCAGCAAGGCGGAAATGGTGTCGACCCACGCATGTTGAAAATCCCAATGGCGAGGGACACAGGCGGCGGGAGAGCCCTCAAGCGAAGGGCCGCTCTGTTCCCGTTGCCTAACCCACCGTATTGGATTCGAAGGCGAGTGGACGATGGGCTCGGGCAAAGACCTCCTGCGCCAATAGCAAACATGTACAGCCAGGCATGCTCGCGCCATAGCGACGAGCGATGTTGGTGTTTGTCGGTTTGGTCGACGGCGTCAGCCGCCTCTCATCTGCCTCTTCACCTTCGTTTCGGGGTTTGAGTAACCCCCCTTGATTGGCTCATGACGGTTCCCTGTATCAAGTGGAATCAGATGGTATCCGTACGCTTGGCCCATCATTATTCATCGTGGACAAGAAGCACACTCAAGCCGCAAGTGGGTTTACCGAATGACCCCAGATGTCATCAAGCCAACCATCACCCCACCCATGCGGCCATGTATGTATGTACCTCCCATGCCTTTGCTCCTGTCTCACTCGATTATTGCTTTTTTTTACAAGGTCGGCGTAGGTCGCGGAGAAAAAGGGTTAGTTCATCAAAAGAGCGTGATGTTGCTAAGCCTCGTTTGGACTTCAAGTCTGAGAAGTGATCTGGTGATGGGCCCACTATTCGTGTCAAATGGGCCGGTTCAGTAAAGTGTTGCGTCGAAACGATAATTGTGGTTTTCCTTTCTCCGCATTCTTGGTGGGCTCTCCTTCATCTCAAACGGGGCGGGTCCGTGGGAAACGGCGGAGGCATGGCGAGACAAACCAAAAGACGACGAGAGAGATGGTCGGTCACATTCTCAAGGCTCGAGGAGCGGCTGACCGATGAGCATGGATTGGGAAGACTGGCCAATGTTTCTGTATTCGTACGTCTGCACACTGGTATCACTCCGCAGATAGTGTGGTGATCCAAGTCCCGGACATACTGAGTGGGCGGTGATGCAATCGTCGTTCGGGGGGGGTTTAATTTGAGACTTGAACGACGAGCATCTCCGTGTCACGTTATTTCCTTCCCCGCATTCCTGGCGAGATGACGGGTGGAGCCATCCGTCGCATGGCTCGCATCGACCAACAAAGCCAAGCTTGCCCGCCCACTTGCTTGAATCCTTGAGGCTTGGATTCCTCTCTATGCTGTATCCATATTACGTAGTATGTATACGGAGTACCTTTGTTTGTATAGGTATGCTCGTAGTCCGTTGCGTCTCTAGCTTCGATGTCGATTTGGCAAAAAGAAACAGCAACTGACGATCCTTTCAATCATTGTTATAGCCCAAGTTTGGGTGCTGCTCAAACCAGCTTTGCTCTAACTAGACAGCTAGAAGACGCCAAACTGAACATCTCCCACCACCATCGCATGACTGCACGAATTGAATATGTCTATCCGGAGTCATATTTTTTTCCCTCTTGATACTCGGACGAAGGCGATACATCAGACGAAAAGAATGCAAAGGCCTCTCAATCCATGAATAGCATCACTCCGGGCGTAACGCCACACCATCACTATCCAAGTCCCTGCCCTGTCGACTATCGAAATCCCCCCAAAGCCACACACGACAAAGGTCGAACCCACATCCGCCGTTTCCCTGTTTCCATTTTTTTTCTTACCCCAATCTGTCAGGGGGTGGTTAGCTGCAGGCAGGCCAGCAATAACGGATGCAACTCCTCGTTGGCCTGTTCATAACTGCAATCGCTTATCCAGAAGGAAGCGAGAAGAGAATAGGTAGTAAGCACCATGGATAGATAGACTAGAAAGAGAGAGAGAGAGAGAGAATGACCGTAACGGGCGACGTGCATATCCGAACATGTCAGGGCCATTGGCACCGTAAGAATGCAGTTTCTGCTTGATGGTGAGCATGGTCGAGAGCTAGTGGTTGCCTGCCCGCCTGCTTATTGCCCTCGTAAGCATTACGGGTTCGTGAGCCTTGGGGACCTGGGGTTTACCTTGCTTCCAAGGCGATCACGCACTCACTGCTTTGCTTAGCGTCTCCTGGAGCCCGTCGAGGAGGTGGGGGGAGAGGGCTCTCTTACAGGCCTCGAGCTTACGGTCAAGTTACAAGTATGATGATGGTATCAGCAAGCGAGCACGTCTTTCTGGGGGATGGGTAAGAGGTATTTCGGACTAGCAAACTCCAGAGGGTCTAGGACTCTAGAGACTGAGGGAGGGATTGACTGTGAAAGTGACGCGTGGCTTGGCAAACCAAACCGACACCCCCAGCCTAGTCTCCGGACACTATCGTATCCGACAGGACCGACGCTGCCGTTCTAGCCTGGTTGCTGCTTAATTCCAGGGGGTGTGGGGGAAGGGAAGGGGTTTTTCTTGGGGGGGGGGGAGGGCTCTGCGACGCTTCGGACAGCGCTTACTTCACCTGGCCACGCCTGGTCCGGGCAGAAAACGAAAGGAATATTTTATGGTGCTATGACTAGGACTATCTGACGCAACGGTCGTGATAACTGACAAAAGTTGCGGGGTGCGACGGCGGCAAGCGGGCGGGCGTTGCGTTTTTTGTGTGGGACTGGACTGCGGGCAGTAAACAAACTTGTCTCGGTCTGCGACACCTTGTTGATAGGAACTTGATATGCGGGTAGTTTGGCATTGTGGGACTCTTTTTCGTGCATGGTCTTCGAGCCATTATCATCCAGCTGATAACTCTTGTTATCTATGTCATTTTCACGTTACTCGAAACGTCAAGTCGGCTCGAATGAGGGGGGCGAGTTGTCCATCGCTCAGTTATTTCGACATGCTTTGGGCGAGAGGGGTTCGGGATTTGGTGTTACACGAATGGTACCGCAGTCCTGACTGTTTCTGGGGCAGGCAGACAGGCAGGCAAGGCAATGATGGGTCCGGTCACTGGTGAGAGCTCGGGAGGCTCGTAACCCTCGGATCGCAGTTGGTCCGTGATACCCTGGCAGCGCCCTCCGAGGACTGTCAACTTTTGTGAGGGGGAAGGGAGGGTTGCAGAGGCCTAGAGGCTAGAACTGACGACAGCGGCGAGTATCCAATCATTCATCACTTCTTTAATGGTCCTTGAGCCTGCCGGTGATCGTGCTATACGTTCATATCATCTCACAATTTTTTGGAGTTACGCAAGAGTTGTCCTGCATTTTGCCTGCCCCCCGTCGACGAAATGAAAGTGAGGTTGGGGTAGTAGGATCGTAGGGTCGTAGCAGGCGAAAAGGAGTACGTGCCTTTGGTTCCGTCTCAACCGCCTGGGCCTAATCAGCTGCGCCTATTCGAAGATGGTAGGTATGCCTTTGGAAATTGAGAGGGCGTTGCAATGTCTCGGAAACATCGTGATAGACGACACCATCTCTCTGGTCATCCTCTCCTTGAGGCTTTTATTTTTTTCGCCTTGCGGGCTGTGAATGTTACGTAACTTACGTTGATCGACTGCTGGTGTGAAGCTATGGATCTACAACTTTACAAGTGGCATGTATTGCATCTCGCTTCTGCTATGGAGGTATTAGTCTGCCCATTCTTTTCAAACGGTTCCGGTGTTAAGATGCCGTTGGGTGGTGTCCCGTCTGGAACGCGAACCCACGCGCCGCAGGGTCGCTTCGACGCCGTTGGCCTCGTAAGTCTCAGCTTTCTTCTTCTTTCGTGGGCGTGTTTTCTCTTCTTGTGGCGAAAGGTCAAACAATCTCTCTCTCAGCGTCTCGGTAGCGTACAATAACAAGGAAAGGAAGACAAGAAGCATGAACGAGAGACCATCCTCACTCATCCAAGTCCAATCGAACCATTCTCCTTCGCCCCTTGCTTGGAAACCACGCCGATATGCAGACAACCAAGTGCTTAGACTAAAATCGAAAAGCAAGAGGAAATGACAAGTCTAACGCCACCAAGCAACCATCGCCGGTCGACGAGAGTGAGAAGAAGGTCCGCTCCAAAAGAGCCTTCAGCTTTGTCTTGAACTAGCTATCTATTCTGCCCACGGCGCCATGTGGCCTGTTCCCCCCTTCTCCTCCTCCCACGCTCTGTCCCAAAGGAGAGGCACGCATCTGTGACGGGATGCACGAGTGTGCAGATTCCCGGCCACCACCATCGAACTCCGACCATCGACACCACTGTCGTCCCATTTCTAGGTAGGGAGAGAGG